AGGTTTTGAGTTGTTGAAATCCCTGGGGGGGGTGTGTGTGTGTGTGTGTGTGTGTGTGTGTGTGTGTGTGTGTTTGGATGTGTGTGTGTGTATGACCTATATGTGGCTACAGCCTTGGTCACATATATAGAGAGCGAGCACTTGTAGAGCACTTGCCTAGTGTGCAGGCCCAGGGTTCCACCCCAGCACCACAAGGGAAAAAGAACATGAAGCTTCCTACTGGAAGATGTCAGCATTCAGTAAAAGTGGGCTGTTGGCTGGGCGGTGCCTCGCTGTTCTTCATCTGAGGCAAGGCTGATACTCCACCTCACATGCATCTTTGAAAAAGAAGATGGCCCTGAGGACTTCAGTGTCTCACTTAGGTTTCAGTGTGTGGGTCACTCTGATGCCCTTGTCACATGAGAACACCCGGATCCCAGGAGTTTAAGGCCACAACGATATCACACCAGGTAGCACTGTGGTCTCCAGTTCTTCAGTGTCACCTTGACCTGTTCTTCTCTGCTTGAACTGAGATGTTCTGGGGTCAGGCCCGCTACACAGGACCCAAGTACTAGCTTCTCAAAGCCTCTGCACACAATTGTGCTTCCTGAGTGTGTCCATGTTACCCTCTCTGTGTTGCGGATGGGACTGAACTCATGGTCTTTATGGTCTGAACTCATACCAGTAAAACTCATGTTTGTCCTCTTAGCAGAACCAAGATTTACCTGTCTTTTCTTTTCCTGGGATGTTTTCCCCTCTATCAGGTCGAAGACTTATTGCATGGTATCTGCTGCAGGAAGGCGAATGAAGAATAATACCTTGCCTCTTTCTCTTTACAGCTGTCCCCAACCTCTCTGTGCTGGAGACAGTAAGTTCTGTGAAATTAGCAGAAAGAGTCAACAGTTCCTGGCAGAAAAAAGGTTCTCCTGAACGGCTGAAGGTTATGGTCCAGGTCAACACCAGTGGAGAGGACAGTAAGTGACCAGAACTGGAGTGCAGATTTCCTTCCCTTTGGGTGGCTGCGCTCAGGGAAAATGGTGAGGGGAAACATCTCCTAGGTGAGGCTGTGCTTAGAAGCCACAGGGTTTACGTCAGCTATCTGTGGATGGTCTAGAGGTGCATGAACACACAAGCCAGTCCACATGCAAGTCTGTAATACATCATGGTGCTATGTCTTAGTTAATGTATCCTGGTGTTATATCTAAATATTGGGGAAAAGAAGAGGAATCAAGAAAGGATTGTGACTTTGATCTCCTGAAAACCTCCAGAGGTCACCATCACTCCTGAAAGGGATTGTAGAGTCACATGTACGTACATCTCAGGTCTTAAACTGTTAGTGTTACAGTGGGAGAGAACAGAAGAAAGACCACTGAGGGCCCTAGGCAGAGACTGCGTATGAGGCTTGGGGTAGCAGGGTAACGTGGAAAGGAGCCCAGCCTTTGAAATGGGACAGGCCATGCTGTGTCACTTCCAGCTTGTTAAATATCTCTCCATCTCACTATCTTGGCTTGGTAGTGGCATCACACTAGCACCCACTTCAGAGTGGGTGGCAAGGATTGAGTGTGGCAGTTCAGGCAAAGCTGGGAACAGAGCCCTGCACAGCTCATTTGATAGCATTTTGTCGAGAATAAATGTTTGAGTTGGGAGTATAGCTCAGTGGTAGAGCACTTGCCTAGTATGTAATAAAAAAAAGAAATTTATAAAGATCAGGTATTTGCTGACAACCATCCAAGCACCAGTATTCACCAAATCTTAACATGAAGGAGCACAGCATAGGCATACAGGCATCTGTTTTCCAGATAGGCCCTGGAAGCGGGCTACCGGGTTCAAAACCCAGGTCTGTATTCATAGCTGTATGACCCCAGAAAGGTTACTTAGCCTCCCTGGGCCTCAGTTTCCCCATCTTTAGGATGGTGCTAGTAAAAGTACTTAACCTCATAGAGCAGTGATAGCAAATCCTTTAGAGTTTTCAGTGACACAAACAGCCCACTGTGGCATGTGTGGCTTAGGTTTGCCACCACTGTCATAGAGTTATTGTGTGAAATGAAAAGCTCTTAGGATGTGGCACATGTGCCTGACACCAGTTACTCTAAGTGTGCTCTGTGTATGTGCACCTTGCCTATAGCTCATTACATCGTCAGTGTAGACAAATCTGAAACTGACTCAGGATCATCTGTATTACATCATTTCTTGATAACTAGATACAATTTGCCCTAATCAAAGATTGAAGTGAGTACTCCTGGCACCTCCATTTGATAAATAGGGGCAGACCCGATCCATGCTTCATATAATTGCATAACAAATGATCATTCATTGTGGATTCCTCCCCCAGTTGCTAACAAGTTCAGTTAAACTTTGTGAATATGTAGTCAGAAGTATTTATTTAATATCTACTTCAATTTTTTGCAATTTTATTAATAAATTAATAAAATTGTGAAATTAAACAGGTTTAGAAAAATAGTTCTTGGATTCATCTGGGATTCTGATAATGTGAATCTTCCTTGGGGTCCCAAGAGATGTAAGGGTTTTTCTTTTCCCTCTCCTCCAAGTCTTCTCAGCTAAAATCCTAAGATATTCATGCCTGTAATTGCAGCACTTCAGAAGCTGAGGCAGGAGGATTGCCGAGAGTTCAAGGCCAGCCTAAATTACAGAGCAAGACACTGTCTCAAATAAACAGCAACAACAACAACAAAATCTAGGCATGGTGGCGCACACCTGTGATCGCAGCACTCAGGAGGCTGAGCCAGGAGGATTGCCACTAGTTCAAGGCCAGCCTGGACTACATAGTCCAAGGCCACCTGAACTACGCATTGAGATCCTGTCTTAAAAAAAAATAAAGAAAAATAAATCCTGAGATAGAGAAGGTGGGGCTAGGGCTCAGTGGTAGAGTGCTTGCCTAGCATGCCTGAAGCCCTGGATTCATTCCCCAGCACTGCAAAATCAATCAATCAATCTATCTGAGAGGATATATTCTTCAGCTTTCCTGTTGCTGAAACAAATTTAGAACCTGATCAGAAGGCATGCTTCCAAAGAAGACCTCAGATAGAAAGTTAATCCTTAAGACATGAGGCTGTCACTTCACAAGGTCTTCATCTGAGAGAGTCACCTCCACTGTTACAGGAAGAGGTGGAACAGACCCCTCTTGTAGCCATTGAGGACATTTTGACATACCCATCTCTGTTTCTTTTACAAAGGTAAACATGGCCTTCCACCCTCAGAAATGATAGCCCTGGTGGAACACCTGAATGCCAAGTGCCCCAGCCTGGAGTTCGTGGGGCTGATGACCATAGGACGCTTTGGCCATGATCTCAGTCAGGGACCGAATCCAGACTTCCAGGTACAACAGCTAGGGGTGTGGGGGATTGTTCATGGCCAAAGAAGAGTCATGGAACCTGAGAGGCAGCGGTGTCCTTGGTGTGGGCAAGACCCTCCGTGGCTTCCATCGCCAGCACCACAGGAGAAAATGAGCAGCACTGCAGCCGAAGCTGTTGCAGGGCTGCCGCTGCACTAACTTCAGAGACATCCCAGATGCTACCTGTCCAGCGGTAGACCCGCTTCTGACCTCTTCTCAAAAGCAAAGGGGAAGAGTGGGTACCCAAACCCCCATGGATCTTTCTCAGCTCAGTTTGAATTTGGCTAAAAGAGTATTTTGGAAAAACAAGCTCTTTCTCCCTCTAATGACCGAGCTTTCTTTTTGTTGTTGTGTTGTTTTTTGCTTCATTTCTGGTACTGTGGCTTGAGCCCAGGGCCACGTGCATGGTAGGCAAGCGCTCCACCACTGGGCCGTAGCCAAGTCCTGATAGTTTTCTTGGGAGTTGGGGACTTCGCTGAAAACCCTTGCAGTGCCCTCTGGAAACCTCAACATCCCTGTAGATCATGAGGAACGTGAACTCCGAATCCAAGGTGGGCAGATCTGACCACTTCCGGACACATGAGAAGGCAGGAATGAAACAGGTGTTGTCATCCCGTGTTCCTGTCAGATGCTGTGGTCGCTGCGGGAGGAGCTGTGTGAAAAGCTGCAGGTCCCTGCCGGGCAGGTGGAGCTGAGCATGGGCATGTCCTCGGACTTCCAGCACGCAGTGAGTGTCCCTCCCCGAGGGAAGGATCCAAAAGGCTGAAGCAGGAACAGGCTTTTTGGGGGGATTCCTTCATTTTGTCAGAGATGGGGGTCTCGCTGAGTTGCTCATGCTGGCCTCAAACTCATGATCATCCCACCCCACCCTCCTGAGTAGTGGAATTAGCCAAGTGTGGAGGCACACACCTGTAATCCCAGCACTAGGGAGGCTGAATCAGGAGGGTCTCTTGTTTAAGGCCAGCCTGGACTACTTATTGAGACCCTGTCTCCAAAAAAATAAAAAGTAGCTGGGACAGGTGTACATCACCACAGCTGGTAGGAATAGGTTTTTGGTGAAGAAACCTTTGAAAACACTCATCAGAACAACAGGGGATCCAGTCACAGTGCTTCTCTGTCCCGACATTTCTCCCCTTCTCATGCTCCTTCTTTTTTGAAGTACAATTTATAGAAATTATATCTTGACACCTAATTTTTAAAAACTTAGTGTAATTCCTAAGGGTCGTTTAAAGGAAAATTTAAAAATGAACTATTGGCTGTGGGTGTGGCTCAGTAGCAAAGCACACCCCCAAGCATATGCTAGGCCCTGGGTTCAGACCCCTAACACTAAAGAAAAAGAACAAGAGCCTGCCTTGCAAGTGCAAGGTCCCGAGTTTGATCCCTGGTACAAAAAAAAAAATCTGCACCTTTATAAGGGCCAGGGATTTAGCTCAGGGGCATCACGCCTGCCTTGCAAGCACAAGGTCCTGAGTTCGATCCCCCGTACCAAAGAAAAAGAACAAGAAATCGAGCTGTACTTCACAAAGGCATTTGGTTACATAAATGCCAGGGCACAGATGTGACAAAATCCTACCTGTGGATTCACTGTGAATGCCACAGCTCTGTGTACACAGACAGCAGGGCTTATTACCCACTCCTATACCTGACTTCCTACAACAGGATATAATTTGATAAAGTTCCAAAATCAAAGTATATTTAATTTTTTTGTTTCTTGAGTCAGGGTTTCACTGTAGTCCAACCTGGCTTCTTTTTTTTTTTTTTTTTTGGTGTTGAGCTCAGAGCCTTCACACTGAGCTACATCCCCAGCCCTTTTTCTTTTTCTTTTTCTTTTTTTTTTTTTTTTTCCTGTTTTGTTTTTGAGGCAGGGTCTTGCGAAGTGCCCAAGCTGGCCTCAAAATTGTGATCTTCCTGCCTCAGCCTCCCAGAGTGCAGATATTATAGGTGTGGGTGACCACACTTAATTCAAAAATCAAAGTATCGAGTTTCATTCCTAGAGAAGTTATCTACTAAGACAGTGTAAAAATCCTTTGTGTTTATAAGTAAAATGGAGTTAGATGCTGTACTCAAATAATCACAAGGCGCTTTCATCCTCTGCCTGACCGTGGCAAGCTAGGAAGGTATGTGGGCCATGAGATAGCTCTCCCTGTGTAGCTATGTCCCACACACCTCTGACAGCCACCATCCTTGGTCCCCCCCAATACCATGTCCTGTCCCATTGTCATTATTGTCCCCCCAACCCCATCTGTGGAATTCTCAAACTTCCAAGCCACCATAGAAACCAAGGAAGTACTGCTTGTTTCCTGAATGCTCCCTCGAGAGTGGTCCCTCCCCAAGGAAACCACTGCCCCACAGCCATCTTCAGGTTTGTTTGCATTGCTCTTTGTAGACACTGCCAGAGAGCCCACTGACTGCATCTCACAGTGTTAGACTCCATCCTTGAAAAATAAAAAATAAAAATAAACTCGGTTTGTGATACTTTCTTCTCTTACCTGCAGATTGAAGTTGGATCAACAAACATCCGGGTAGGGACCACCATCTTTGGAGAGCGGGATTACTCCAAGAAACCCATTCTGAATGACACCACAACAGAATTGAAGGCCCCAGTGGGGGCAACACAGGAGCACTGAGTGAGGACAGCCAAGACAACCAGCTTTGCACCAACAAAGTGTTCGTTGTAATAGTCCCCACCTTTCCACCCAGCCGAGCACTCCTGGGGCCTGAACAGAGAGCATGGACAGTCCCGGGTATTGTCTGAAGCCACCTGTGCTTAGTCTCTGACATAGGAAGCCTGGTTCAAACAGTGGCTTTGGATCAAGTTTGAGAATTGACTCTTCTGTAGAAACAAATGCCAAATCAGTAGGCAGGAATCAAGTTCCATATGGAATTCTGCCCAGGAGCACTAACCAGCTCATGGATGCCTTTTCCAGGTTGAAGTGTGGATTACTGGTGCCTATGATCCTGGAAGTCAGAGGGATTCCCATTTCTCATCCCACTTTAGTAGGAAATTCCCCATTCCCCGATAGTCACCTTTGCTGCTCCAAAGCAAGGTGATTCTGTCCCACAGTGCACATGGAACATGTTACCTGCTGTGGAGTGGCAGTCAGTAACATCCAGCCATGACTCCAGTTACAGCTCCACACACAAATTGTTATTAGGGACAGTTAGTGTCATTGACCACTGTGACCCTGAGATTTTAGGGGTAACTATTTGTAAATAGGACTTAAGCCTTTCTTCCATCCTCAAGAGATGGAACTTTGAGCTTTTCCCTGGGGACCCCACAGCAATGGGAATTTAACTTTGTGATGTCTTATCCACTATAATCCCCTTTCTGGTGATTTTTTAGCAAAGACCAGTGAAATCTCATCCCTCCTGGAAATAAAAGCCTGCAGAGCCCATGCAGGCATTTGGCTTCAGCAAGGCCTTGATTCATCGTTCTCTCTGAGGAGCATTTCACAGGCTCACTTGGCCTCCACACTGTCTTTATAAGCCACCGTTTGACAGCTCTTCTTGATTGTTCATTAATACAGTAGCAAGATCTTCAAAAGTCAGAAAGCACTGGGGCCAGGGATTTAGCTCAGTGGTTCTGCTGCCTGCCTCACAAGCACAAGGACCCGAGTTCGATCCCCGGTACCCCCCACCAAAAAAAAAAAAAAAGAATGCACAATCCTCTGAGTCCTGACAGCTTCAGTGTGGGTGGTTGTTTTCTAGATAGCTTTTTCTCTTATTCGAGTAGTCTTTAATATTATGAAATAACTGAGAACATGATGCTGCTGCTGAATGTAATTTTGTAAAATTTAACACCATTGTGATTCCCATTTCAAAGCTATAGTGTGATAGTTCAGAGTCTGTTAGAAATATGAATTTGAATTATACCATCTGTGCCAATTACAAAGCAATTAAAGGATTTATTTTCTATGGTCTGATGTAGTGAATAAATATGGGGGTGGCATCAGAACCAACACCAGGTAGTTTTCCTCCTGTCCCTGGCGTCCTCCAGCCCAGCTTTGGAGCAGAGCTTCCCTTGGGTCACACATGTAGTCCAGGCCACACCATGGATGGAAAAGGATTCTGAACTTCTAGGACAAGCAAACAAAATCTTTATGTTTCAGGAATTAACCAAAATGAAGAGGCTGTCTTGGTGCAGGGAACTCTAGAGTCGCCTCTAGGTGGCAACATCGGCTCACCTGAGGGGCAGGTGCGGGGCCTGCGGTGGGCACTTCACCCTGGAAGGAGCTTCTGGTCAGGTAGTTTTGCTCCCTCTTTCCAGGCTGGAAGAAGTTTCCCAAGTGACGCGCTGGTTGACAGTCACAAGGTCCTCTCAGCTGCCTGGTTTCCTTGGCTAAGGGTCCTGAAGGGAACTGTGGAACCCCTCAGGGAAGTGAGATCATCTGCGCTGTAAGATATATCTCTGGCTTGTGCCTGAAGATTAAAAACGGAAGCCCAGCCAGGGAGCTGAATCAAACCTAGATAAGGGAGGGAAAAAGGGTTTCCCCACCATGTCCACATAGAACAGGATCCTGTAGAGGGAAAACTCAGCCAGGTTGGGACATTCTTTTTCTGGTTTTTTTGTTGTGTTTTGTTTTGTTTTAATTTTGAGACAGAGTCTCACTAAGTTGCCCAGGCTGAACTCGAGCTTGTGATACTCCTGCCTCAGCCTCACGCCTGGCCTGTGACATTGTCATGTCACACCTCACAAGAAACAGCCAGTGGGTTACTCTGTTTTTAAACAGCAGTGACAGCACCCCAGGCAAGTTTCCTGAGTTTCAACAGCAGGATGTTCTGGGTGAGCCCCACCCAGCTGGCCAATCATCTTTTCCTAATAGTGTCATTCATCTGCCCTGAAACCAGCCTAGGTTTCAGGGGCCAGCAGCCCCCACCCCCCAACAGTCCATCGAGGCCTTGGTCTCTTGGAAAGTCCTTCATAGATTCTATCACTTTCCTTCTCTTTCGTTTGTTCATGGTGCTGGGGATTGAACCCAGGTCATGCACTGCTCAGTAGGCACTACCCCACTCAGCCACAGCCCCAGGTGTACCATGGGGTTTTTTTGTTTTGTTTTTTGTTTTGGTACCAGGGATCGAACTCGGAGCTTTCGAGGCAGGCAGCAGAACCACTGAGCTAAATCTCCGGCCCTGTACCAGGGTTCTTAAAGCAACCTCTGTCTCAAATCATATCCTGCCCCTTTTTTAACATTCACAAGTTTGTTCTCATAGGTCTTAGAGACCTATAAGCACTCACCCCTGTATTCTTGCATTTTAATCTCATGACAGCTGGTCAAGAATTTTAGGATATTTGGGCATATGCCTTTGTGGCCAGGGCACTGGGACCCTTAGTGAAGTCAGAGCAAGTTGGAAGCAAGGCAAGAAATAAACTTGGAGGCCGGGGATTTAGCTCAGTGGTTCCGCTGCCTGCCTTGCAAGTGCAAGGATCAGAGTTCGATCCCCAGTACCAAAAAAGAAAGAAAAGAAAAAAAAAAAAAGAAATAAACTTAGGACTGACTTCCAGTCCACAGATTGGTCACTGAACTGATATGTACTGCCTCCTGCTGTGCTGGGGGTGGAGCCCAGGGCCTCACACATACTGGGCAAGTGCTCCACTGCCAAGCCACAGCCCAGCCCAACTCTGCTAAACCTTCTTAGGTGAGCAGCTTTAACTTCAGAGAGCCACATTACTGTAAAAGAAGGGTTTGTAGTCGATTGTAATAGTTGAGAATTGACACATCTTAACACAGGACAAACTATGAAGCCACAAGCAGTGGGCGTGAGAAGGAAGGAGAGAATTAAACGAAGTCATCAGTGGGATTAGCCTCTCTTCCGCCCTCCCACATCCCTAGCACACACGCCCCCTCCAGATCCAAGCTGTCCCACTGGCCCTGCCTGGGCTGGACCAGCGAGCATTCTGCTGCTGCCCAAGGCCAGGCACAGGAATGAGGTGGACTGGGACATTCTGGAAACCCAAGAGTCCTTGGGCACCAAGTAACCCTTGCTTCCTACCAAAGCTTCGGAGGAGGGGGGAGGACAGTTTCTGAAGGACTGCAGTGAGGGTGTGGTGCCTCTGGGGTGCTGTTGGATGGGAAGGGCTGGCTCTGGGAGCCCGGCCTGTCTTTACCCTGAAGTCAGCTGGATGCTATTACCTCAGCCTCCTGACTAAGGCCAGAGGAATCCAAGCCACTGTCCTCTGAAACAGTCTACTAATCCGCCCTCCTTTAGGGGTACATAGGTGAGGAAAAGGACTTTGTTTTTTGGTGATTCTGGAGATGGTACTCTCTGTCACTGAGCTATACCCCCGAGGCAAAACAAGACGAGGGCTTACTTTTCCACCCAATTTGTATCAACAAGTGTATACTTGGGCTGTGTGTGATTGAACGGCCATTTAAAAGGTCCTTAAATTAAAGTTCCCCTCCTATAACAAGGCCCCACAAGTTTGAGGCAGCAGGGCAATTTAGCAAGACCTTGTCTCAAATGCTGTCTCAAAATTTACAGCATGGTGGCACATGACTGTAATCCCAGCTACTCAGAAGGCTGAGGTAGGAGGATCACCAGTTTGATGCTAGCCTGAGCTATATAGAGAGCCCCTGTCTAAAAAGGGGAAGGAGGGCTGGAGGTGTAACAGTAGTAGAGCTCCCCCACCCTGGGGTCAATCCTCACTACTGGAAAAAAAGAAAAAGTCTGGCATGTATCAGCTGAAATGGCATGTGGTGGGGAGGGAAAGGGGGATTTCTGACATCTTTCTTGTATTTAAAATAAATTTTATGAGCTCAGACTTGTGAGCTTTGCAATGCCCAGGAAGCAGATGCCACTCTTTGGGCAGTGGAGTGCTTCTCAGATGGCCTTGGTCACGCTCACAGGTTGGAACACCCCATGCCAGCTGCATGCTGGTGTCTGTCCCCACCCAGCCTCTGAGGAGTGGTGTTACTCTCTGGTTCAGAGCAGAACTTGACCAGCCTGCCAATCTCCAAAATACAATCAATGTGTGACCTTATTCAGCAGATGTCCCGAAGAAACAAGCACAACCCTAGGACAACTTTGAAGCCAAGAAGGGAAGATGAGAAGTTGGGAGAGAGAAAGAGGAGGGAAAAGAAACTTGGCTGGACATGAAAGGTGTCTTGTCCGTCTGTTCCCCATTAGGCGAAATTCTCTCACAATCTGCAGCCTCAACATAATTCTCCTGACCAGAAACTCCCTGGAGAGATAGTATCAGAGGAAAAACAAACAGACTAGCTCTTCTGACAGCAAAGTCACTTAAAAACCAATTTGTGGGGGGAGGAGGGGAGATGTGCATATGTCAGGGGAGGGCACACCTCGAAGCAGGCCTGGACCAGGACCAGAACGGGTCCCCCGGGACAGGTGGCATGTAAGGGCAAGGGAGCTCCAAGAAGCAAAATGCCAGATCGGCTGTCTCAGCATGTGCCTTGTCTGGCTTTTCCATCTGAGAACTCAACACTAAAACTCATGGCGGCTGGGGTACAGCTCAGTGATGAAGCACCTGCCTAGCATGCACAATAAGGCTCTGGGTTCCATCTTTAGCACTGCCAAAAGTAAACACTAAAACCCACTGTGCTGGATCCGCACCCTTGTCATAAGCCCAATTTCCCATTTCTGCCAGCCAGCCGCAGCCAAAGGCAACCGTCCCTGTCAGGGACACAGCTTCCCAGCAGCAGAGGCCTCTCCCAGCCCTTCTGATCACCTTTGAGCTAAGCAGTCCAGCATTTGGGAGTGAAGCACCCCACCAAAGGAGGCTAGGGCAAGGTTCTGCAGGGCTGGGGGTTGGGGCAGGGCAGGCTAGGGCAGCAGCTCCATGCTCAAGTTTCTGGGACAGGCATCCTGTTCTAGGAGAGACTGTTTTTTTAAAGGAAGAAAAACTAATCAGCAGAAAGAAGCTAGAGCTTGCCCCTGCCTCTCGGACTTGTTTATTACTAGGATATCTGATTTCAGCAAAGGAAGCCGGCTCTGAAGCAAGGTTTTTATTGGCCGTGAGCAAGAGGAATTCAGGGTTTGCCTTTGATTTGGCTTCCCCAGAACATGAGGCACTGAAGAGTGCTCCCTGCTTTGATGGAGCAGCTCAGTCTCTGGGCCCCCTCCCAAATTCTGTTTTGGCAGCATGGACACAAATTCCCCTTAGAGGATGAGGGTAGAGAGAGGGGTGGAGTGGAAGGGGATGGAAATGGAGGACGAAGGTGAGCAAGCGGGCGACTAAGCAGGGGGGGCTGCCCTTCCCTGCCCGAGCAAGAGAGGAGCCAGGAGGGCAGGTCTGCTCCGTGAAAGGCTGCAGGCAGCCGGGCCCTGATGGCTTCAATGTGTTCATAGATAAAGCCAGAGACTGGAGAGGCGGCCTCCGCCAGCAGCCAGTGCTCCCCAGCTGTGGCAGGCCCAGGGGAGGGACACCAGCTCCCCCTGGCCCTTGGCTGGGATGGCCTCCAGCCTCCTGCTAGTCTCCAGAGGGAAAGTGCCCCCAACCACTTCTCTCCTTTGTCTTCTGCACCTCCTGCCTGTCTGCCTTCCCTCCCACCCCCTCATCCCCTCTCCACCAGCCCCTGGAGACAGAAGAACCCTGTGGGAGGACTCAAGGCTGGGCCAGCCCCTAAGGCTGCTGGGAGTGCTGCTGGGACCCCAGGGCCATCAGAGATGAGCTGTCCTCAGGGAAGGGGCTATGCCTGTGTCCCGCTCCCCTCCTGTTCTGGATTGAGACTAGGAAGCAGTAAGTGACAGGAGAGCCCCTCTTGGTCTCAGGGTGTGGGTCATCACGGGCATCTCTGTGCCTGCCTCCTTGTCACAGGGCACAGGCTCAGCTGCCAGTGGTGTGTGGGTCGCCAGCATGCTCACCTGTGAGGCCCAGGTCCACTTGGCAGCCAGGGTGGCACTTGGCACTCTGAGCAGTGGCGGGGACGGGGAACAGGGCTCTCACTGTGTATGCTTCAAGG